ATGCAAAAATTCTTGTTTTCTGGCCTAAGTTGAACAATTATATGAACAGCTCTCAGACACCACCAAGAAGGGTTAAGTTGATGGCTGAAGATACCATGCAACAGGTAACGGAGGATATATCCATTGCCTGTTGTTTCAGTTTCTAACTGGATGAGAGCTCCATATGTGTGGTGATGCGCAGCTATGTTTGGGATTGTTTCCCCAGTTAAGCTTTTATTGATAAACTGATGCTGTGATACCATTGCAGAGTAGTACCAGTGCTTCACTGTTTACTTTGTTTTTTTATTTTTTTATTTTTCATAATTAAAACTAGCATTAATATATACTGTGCATCAAACATGCATGAAATGGAGAATGGACTTATTAGACTGATGACGGCACAATGTAACACTTACCAGTAATGACATCTTTCAGCTGCAGTCTGTGGAAAGCTGTTTTGCCATTGATGCCACGCCAGTTGAGTTGTTTGGCAAGGGAGTTGGTAAAACAATGCTTCATAACCCGCCAAACGCTATCCTTAATGTCAACTCCTCCAATGACACTCAATGCAGTAATCTGAAAAAGATAATTTAAAAGCCATGGATACATGTTTTATATCAACACTACTCACAGTAACACTATTCAGAATTTAAAAAATACATATCACTTCTTCCTTAGTTGGCATTTAGGACAGTCTCATTGTTGGATACTGGCTTTCTTAACCTGTTTTCTACTGTAGGACTGTCAGTCCATCACTGATGCGGTTCCATATTCAACTAACAAGGTGATACAGTGGCAGTGCTACAGCAGAAAACAGTTCCACCATTTTGGAAACTAGTTGGCTGAAGACTAAAATTTACCAATCATTACCTTGTCTCCCCAACAGTAAATGACTAAAATCAAACGCAATATCTAAGTAGCATCCATAAGGGAGAGGACAGAATTGCTGCTATCCAAATTAGGTGGCTATAGAAAATATTGGGCCAAATTGGGTAACCCATCCTTTTAAGTGGTCATGAAATGAAAAGGTCATTGATGTTTACACATATAAGGGGTTAGTCTACAGTAAATAAATGCTGCAAGTTTAATACTTCAGTGCTCCCCAGTTTGA